CTTTTGTGTGAAGTGTATCATTGGGCATGTGGAGGTATTATTGATATGAGAAAATGCTAAATAACTGATTTACTATCTAAAAAGGGATTTACTATTGGGGAAATTGAGGGAAGAAGAGACTGAACATAAACTGCACCTATGGATGAGGACAATGGGGGGTGGGGGGGGGACAGAGGGTGGGGTGGGAACCTGGTGGAGGGGGGAAGAAATGAGGAACCTTTGTAATAATATGAACAATAAAGATTGATTTAAAATAAATAAATAAATAAATAAATAAATGAAAGAAGCCAGTCACAAAGGACCACATATTATATGATTCAATTGATATGAAATATCCAGAATAGGCAAATCTATAGAGACAGAAAGTAAATTAGTGGTTAGAAAGTAGATTAGTGGTAGAAAATAGCTTAGGGCTGGGAGCTTGGGAGGAAAATGGGAGTGACTGCCAAAGGGTATGGGGTTCCTTTGGGGGATAATGAAAATGTCCTAAAATTGATGGCGGTGATGATTGCCCAGTTCTGTGAAAAGATGAAACCCATTGAATTGTATGGTATGTGAATTATAGCTCAATAAAGATGTTTTTTAAAAATCTAAAAAAAAACAAACAAAAAAAAAAAAACTGTGGTACATCTACACAATGGAATACTACGCCGCTATAAAAAAAGAAGGAACTCTTACCATTTGTAACAGCATAGATGGAACTTATTATGCTAAGCGAAATAAGACAGTTGGAGAAAGATAAATACCAATATGATCTCACTCATATGTGGGATATAATGATCAACATAATTTAATAGATCCAGAGACAATGGTGGGGGGGGGGTTAGAGTAAGTAAAGGACTTGTATGCATGCACATTAGCATATCCAATGGACACAGGCACTGAGACGTGGGGGCTTGCCTGGGGTGGGAATGGCTGGGGGGGGGCGGTCAATAGGGGAAAAAGAAGACATATGTAAAACTTTAGACAATAAAACAAACAAAAACAAGGATCCTGTTTAGAAGCCCCTGACAGAGAAAGAAAGAAAGAAAGAAAGAAAGAAAGAAAGAAAGAAAGAAAGAAAGAAAGAAAGAAAGAAAGAAAGAAAGAAAGAAAGAAAGAAAGAAAGAGCGAGCAAAGGCAGGGACATCAAATCCTTAAATAAGAAAAGTCCCTGCACTGCACGTATGCCCTTTGCAAACATGGCCCTCTCTCCTCCCCTGTACTCACGGCGTCTTCCTGGCAGCCTGCAAATGCCCAGCAGGTCCACGTGGGCGCCACGGAGGTGGTGTGGCTGCCGTGGGGTTCACAGGAGAACCGGCCAGTGCTCCCTCCTAGAGAGGAGAAACCCAGGCAAGTCTGAGGTGAGCGCCCTGGTATAGGCTCCGCACCCAGAAATGTGTGAAGGATTTTTTCAAAGGGAAGGGGCATCCATCTCCGTGTGTGGGACCACGTGTGCCTTCACCTGATGCCCTCAACATCCTGTGCACAGTGGACACTTGAGAAACGCCATCTTCCCCAGTCATGCTTTCCGGGCCTGGCCTAACCCACCAGAAGGCCGCCCTGGGCCTGACCCGTAAGCTGTTAATCTGGAGGCCTAGTAATACTCAGTGCATACCTGAGGGGCCAGGATAAAAAGGCCTTAAATCAGGAATAAACAAACAATGAAATGCTATTTTTAACAGAGAGAAAGACTGGCTGCATTTCTGAACCCCAGCGTCCCAGCAGGGATGTCTGAATCTTTACAATTTTCCAATCGCCTCATCCCCAGGGAGGCTGTGGCTCACTCCTCAGGATGAAGGGATGAAAAGTGGTCCTGGCTGGTTTGGCTCAGTGGATAGAGCGTCGGCCTGTGGACTGAAGGGTCCCAGGTTTGATTCTGGTCAAGGGCACATGCCCCAGATATGGGTTTGATCCCCAGTAGGAGGCTTGCAGAAGGCAGCCAATCAATGATTCTTTCTCATCATTGATGTTTCTCCCTCTCTCCCTCTCTCCATGCATACAAGTGAGATTCCAGCCAGGATCTGATGAAATGAGTGTGGAAACGAGGAGTAGAGGGGCTGGGGCAGGTGGCTCTGTGGGCTGCGGTGGAGGCTGGGGGCCAAGGTCCTTCCCTGCCCTCTGAGCCGCGCTGCCAGGCGCTCCCTGCTCCAGCCCCCGGCCCAGCCCCCGGCCCAGGCCCAGGCCCAGGGGGATGCCTCGTGGGAGGAGACCTCTTTCCAGACGCAGGAACAGGCGTGCAGGGCGCCCGGTAATCGCTATCCTTCCAGGAAACAAAAACGAAAGAGCGGACTCGCTCCCGCTCCCACCCCCCCTGGCGGGGCTGGGGAGGGCAGGGCCCGGTCGAGCAGAGCCGTGGGTACTGCTCATATCCTCCGGGTGGACAGCCTGTAGGCAGCCTGGCCTTGGCTCCCAGGGGGATGAAAGGGGTGGGGGGGTCTGCAGGATCTGGGGAGCTGAGGGACCCCTGGTCCTGGGCTGGGGACCAAGGCAGACCAACTTCACATCGGTCATGTGCGCCTTCGCAGATGGACAGGAGGGCCTGTCCGTCAGGACCAGGTGCTTCCCCGGGGCTGTGTCACTTTGTCCGCCTGTCACTTGGCCCTGAGCTGGCGTGGTGCTCCCCTGACCGGGACCTCGGAGCTCAGCGACAGACTGGCACCTATCTCAGGCTCTGGCTGCCCCGGGTGAGCGCACCTGCCTCAGCTCCCTGGGTCTTGAGGGGAAACAGAGGTTGTAAGCACTAAAGCAAACCAACATCCCCGGGAGAAAGGGAGGGAGAAGCCTAGGCACCCTTCTGCTGACCGCCCGCCCGAGAGAGGGTGCTGCGGTGGAGGTTTAGCACCCGGAGCCAGAAAGAACAAGCCGCACACAAAGGAGCTGAGCGGAGGGTGCGACGGTGTCCACAGGAAGCAAAAGGCTGGTGGCCCAGGAACAGATGCTCAGATTCACTGGTTAATAAAAGCTGTGCAGATCAAAGCTTCTCTGAGAGATCATTTCCACCATGAACTTAACAAACCCCCAAAAGTTTAACTACATCTGCTGGAGAGGCTCAGGCACTCCGCTGGCTGCAGAGCGGCCCCACCCCAGGGAGGCGGGGGCAGGATCCAGCACAGTCACCAGTGCACCTACCCTCCACCCAGCACACCCCACACCGCAGAATTGCACACTGCTGTGTGTGTGTGTGTGTGTGTGTGTATGTATGTGGTGTGTGTGTATGTGGTGTGTATGTGTTTATGGGTATGTGTATGGTATATGTGTTTGTGGGTATGTTTGTGTGGTGCGTGTGTGTGGCGTGTGTTTGTGGGTAGGTGTGTGGTGTATGTGTTTGTGGGTGTGTTTGTGTGGTGTGTGTGGCATGTGTATGTGTGGTATATGTATGTGTGGTGTATGTGTTGAGTGTGGTGGGTGTGTTGGTGTGTTTGGGTGGGTGTGCTTGTGTGTGTGTGCTGTGTGTGTGGTGTGTTTGTGGGTGTGGTGTGTGTATTTGTGGGGGTGTGTGGTGTGTGTGTGGTGTGTGCATGGTGTGTGCGTGGTGTGTGTGTTTGTGGGTGTTTGTGTGGTGTGTGTGTGTGTGTGGTGTGTGTGGTGTGTGGGGTGTGTGTATGTGTGGTGTGTGCATGGTGTGTGCGTGGTGTATGTGTGTGTGTGTGTGTGTGTGGTGTGTGTGGTGTGTGTGTGTGTGTGTGGTGTGTGTGTGTTGTATCTGGAAGGATGTGTAACAAACAATTGAGATTCAAGATAGAAAATAAGAAGAAGGGTTTTCATGTGTAACCATCTGATTACATACCTGTTCAAAGTAGTAAAAAGAGAAAGAAGTTCAGGGTCTGTTCCATGTCAGCAAGCCGAAGCCGCGGTGATGATGGAAAAGCAGGTGCTGCATGAGGCAGCCTGAAAAACGGGGCGTTCCCCTTCGGAAGGACAGAGTGGATGCTGCATGAGATCTGAAGCCTGTGGCCCTGGCTGGCGTGGCTCCATGGATAGAGTGTCAGCCTGGGGACTGAGGGGCCCAGGTTCGATTCTGGTCAAGGGCACATTCCCGGGCTGTAGGCTAGATCCCCAGTAGGCAGCCAATCAATGATCATCATTGATGTTTCTATTTCTCTCTCTCTCTACCTTCCTCTCTTTATAATTTAATAAAAATATATTTTAAAAAATAAAAGACTATGCCGAAACTGGTTTGGTTCAATGGATAGAGCGTCGGCTTGGGGACTGAAGGGTCCTGGGTTCGATTCCGGTCGAGGGCATGTACCTTGGTTGCGGGCATATCCCGAGTAGAGGGTGTGCAAGAGGCAGCTGATCGAAGACTCTCTCTCATCAATGTTTCTAACTCTCTATCTCTCTCCCTTCCTCTCTGTACAAAATCAATAAAATATATTTTAAAAATAAAAATAAAAAATAAAATTATAAACTATGAAATTATGAACCCAGGAATAAGTGGAATCCCTTCCTCACAAAAGACATATGCGAAGATGTTTCATGCCTCAATAAAATAACAACATTTATTTCATTTAAATAACAAACAACTCAAACATATACAGAACTTATAATTTATAACAACAAACGTCCTTAATACCCGTAATGCCTCTAAAAGGGGGGAGACAGGGAACATGAGGTGGACAGAAAGGAATGAGAAGAACGGGGGCCGCGGGTCTGGACACGGGCACCCAGAGTGGGGCCCACAGGTGGCTGGGGTACCAGGCAGGGCCAGGAGAAGCGTCCGTCCCTGTGGCCGCTGGTCTGAGGACATGGCTCGGGCTCCCTGAGGGGAGGGGAGGCTCAGGGACCCTCGCAGGCCTCCTGAGTGCGCCTGCGGCTCTGCCACGCGGTGAGACACGCGCAGACACCGCGCCGCGGCTGCTCCGAACGGGCAAACGGTCCGTGAGTCTGCAGCTCTCCAACGAGGCCGCATAAACCAACAGCGAAGGGTAAGGACAGAGGGCAGAGGAGGGCTTCCTTCCGCCAGTGAGGGGCTCGTTCTCAGCGCGGGAGGACGGCAGAGCCTGGCGTGGACGCTCCTCTTACAGCCAGTGGTTGTTCCAGAGAAAGCGCAGCAGCGCGTGGCCTCCCGCGTGGAAAACCACCACAAAGGGAGCCAGCGCCTCTCTGCCTTCCCCCTGAAGATTCTGTTAAAGAGAGAGAGAGTTGTTTTTAAGGCAAAAGAATAATCCAAAGTGGGGAATTCAGCATTAATATTCATTCAATCAATGCCAAGAGCAAGCTGGATGAGGCGTAGGCGCTGCAGGAGGCTATCTCGGGGGTGAGTGATGCCCACGCCCTCCGCACCACCCCGGAGTGCTCCCCTGCACCTGTTCTCTCACCTTAACCCCCAGCAAACAGGGACCCTCTTTTCAGGCTGATAACTGCCTCCTCTGGCTTCCAGAGCACTTTCTTCGTCCTCTCAGGGAAGCAAGGAAGCTTGCTTTGGGGTTGGAAGAACTGATGGGACTCAGATGGGTATAAACGCTTAACACATCTCCTCCTCTTCCTTGCTTTATTTTTCTCCAAAATATTTATGACTGTCTGATAAGCTATTTACTTTATTTATTTATCACTTGTCTCCCTTGAGAATATAAGCTCCCTGATCTCAGGGAGTGTGTCTGTCTTGGTCACGGCCCTGTCCGCAGTCCGGGAACAGCCTGACACACCAGGTATCAGCACCCATTAGCTGGCTGGATGAGTGATAAATCATTAGCAGCAAGTTAAGGACTTTATACTTTGTCCTGTCAGTAACAGGGAACCACTAAAGGATTTTTCTCTTTTATAATTTATATCTATTAGGAAGATGAATGAATGTCCTTCCAGCCAGGCAGACAAGAAAATGAGTGCTGAGCCAGGTGCTAGAATAGTGACCAGATCTCTCTGAACCTCAGCTGCTTCTCTGGAAACACCTGAACCACTAACTGATAGGGTTCCTGTGAGAATTAAATGAAAGGAAAGGCTGTTTTCCCTCTGCCCTCTGAGAGTGTTTGCAAAGAGTTCCTGGAAGAAATCCTATCAATATATATTAAAACCCTAGTATGCAAATGGACCAAACGGTCAAACAACTGGTTGCTATGATGCACACTGACCATCTACAGAGGTGCACTCCCACAGAGGGAGCGCCGCTCAGCCAGAGGCTGGGCTCACAGCTGGCGAGTGCAGCAGTACTGGCGGAAGCCTTTCCCATCTCCACAGCAGCAGTAAGAACCCCTGGGGGATGTCCAACTGCCAGCTTAGGCCCATGGGGAGCAAGCAGTCGTACATCCCCCGAGGGGTCCCAGACTGCAAGAGGGCACAGGCTGGCTGAGGGACATTCCCATAACCCCACCCCCACCCCACTGCATGAATGTCGTGCCTGGGCCTCTAGTTCTTTAATAAATGTTAGTTTCCTTCCCCGCTTTCTTACAAACTAAAAGTTCCCTATGCATTACTGTATTAGTAAGGGTCCCCAAGAAAACAGGTGGCACCTCAAATTAGGATAATTGAGGGCGGTTTAAATAAGGAGACGGTCTACACAGTGGGAAGGGGCCACGGGGGCGGTACAGTTCTGAGGGCTGGCAATCAGAGTTGGTGCCACTCCTAGGCCTATAGGGACATGGAGGGGACAGATTCTAGAACCCAGAAGGGAAGAGTCCTTCCTGTAGAGAAACATTTAAGAAGACTATTATAAAACATACTTTATATCTAGGAAAACAACATGCCCTGGATTAAAAAAAAAAAAAAAAGTCCAGCTCTTGAATCAAAACCCTATATAAATCAATAGCAAAACATGTTATTTTGAGGACCAGGCTTTTTGAAAATACAGAATGCTTGCTTCGGTGAAAAGAACAAGAGAGCAGGTGTGTGGCAGTGCAAGGGCAGTCAGTTCAGCAGACAAAGCATGGCCTGCTGAGCTCCTGGCTCGGCGGTCCGGGAGCACAATGGAAGTTTCTTTAAATATCAAAACTCGGAAGAGGCCTGGTGAGTCCGAGTGACCACTTGATCAAACAGAGTACAAAGGTGAACGGATAACGACTCTCCATAAAGGAAATGAGCCGTGCCAGGTTTGAAACTCTGTTGAAGTTGCTGGATTTAAGCCTGTTGAAGTTGCTGGATTTAGGCAGCAGAGAAAGGGCTCCAGCATTTTAGATCCAAACTTAGAAGACACTTCTAAAATTATTTTAATAGTATGATGTGGTCTATTTAAAAGTGCAATTTTGTGGTATAGGACAAGAGATCTTTAAAAGTCTAGGTCAAAGCCCGCTTTGTAAAATCCTGCGTGAAGAGCTAGGGCAGCAGCAGGATAGGATATAGATAGATGGAGGAGAACTGAGAGACCAGAGATAAACACCCCCTTTACAGGCCATTGGTTTCAACATGAGTGCCAGGGAGAGAATGGTCTCAACAACCGGTGCTGGGCCGACGGGATGCCGCATACCAAAGATTAAAGACAGACTTTTAACTCACATCAGATCTGACACCTAATAGATCTGACACCTAAATGTAAGAGCTAAAACTAAAAATCTCTTAGAAGAAAACCTGGGTGTGAATCTTTATGACTTTAGATTAGGCAATGATTTCTCAGACAAGATGCCAAAAGCACTAGAAAGGAAAAAAAAACTGAACTTCCTCAAATTAAAAAAAAAAAAAAATTGTGCTTTTCAAAGAACACCACCCAGGAAATGAAAAGACAGCCTACAGACCAGGAGAAAACATTTGCAAATAGTATTTCTTATAAGGAATTGACATCGAGAATGCATACTAGTAAAGAACTCCTACAATTCAATAACAAGAGACCAAAAACCCAATTTTTTAAATGGGCAAAGGATCTGAATAAACATTTCTCCGAAGAGACATACCAATGACCCATGCACGCTTGAAAAGATACACATTAGCCAGCGGGGAAGTGCAAACAACACCAGAATGAGACAACCCCTCATGCCCCCGGGCTGGCTATGAACAAAAGACAGTGCATAACTCGTGTTGAGGAAGATGAGGAGAGACTGGAGCCTGTGCGCTGCTCCTGGAATGTAAAGTAGGTCAGCCGCGTCGGGAAAACAGCCTGGATGCTTGGATGCTCCTCCAACCATTAAATATAGAATTCTCATCCAGCACAGCAATTCCACGCCCAGGAATGTACCCAAAAGAACTGGAAACACGTTCTACACAAAAGACACATGCACATGTGTTCATAGCATCATTCTTCATGATAACCCAAAAGTGGGGTCAACCCAAACATCCATCCCGGGTGACTAAATAAGCACAATGTGATCTACACTGAGCGGCCAGATTACTATGCTCTCTGAACGCATAATAATCTGGCGACTCAGTGTGTGTGTGTGTGTGCGTGTGTGTGTGTGTGTGTGTGTGTGTGTGTGTGTGTGTGTGTATTAGAGGCCCAGTGCATGAATTCATGCATGGGTTGGGTCCGGCCACCCCGCCTGCTGGTCGAACTCCTGATTGAGGGGACAATTTGCATATTAGCCTTTTATTATACAGGATATACAATGAATGGCCATAGTATTATGCCTTGGAGATCATAATAATCTGGCCACTCGGTGTATACAGACAATGGGATATTATTCAGCAATAAAAAGAAGTGCTGACATGTGCTGCACATAAAACAGAAAGAAAAGCGGGGAACCCTTCAGTGCTGACTTACGCGGCTGCAGAGGCAACCTTAAGACTTATGAGTAAATTACAAAAGGTAAGGAAAAGGAGGCAGCCGCGGAAAAGGAGGCTCATTGTGTCCCACCCGGACTCTCCTACTCAGAGAGAAACATTAGCAGGACCAGGAGTGTTCAAACTTAGCTGATCAGGAAGCAGGAAAGGTGAACCAAGGAATTTCCTGGAAGGAAAAGTGAAAACGTTCCTACTGAAGAACCTGGCTAAGAAAGGAGAAGACAGCACGGTAAGAAAAGAAATATTCACCTCCACGTCCTGGAAGGGCAAAGGCAAAAAGCACGTTAATTTTTGGTTTAGATAACATTAACTGGCCATTTTCTGAGGGCAAACTCTGTTCTAGGTGACTTACACAGGTTCTCTCACTTAATTCCACAACAGCCGTATGTTTGAAGCAGGTGCTGGCGTGGCCTCCAGGCCACAGAGGAGACATAGTGACAGTGGGAACCGGACTCTGGATCAGTACTGGGACCCTAGAGCCAGCACTTTAACCCCTTAGACCATAGAAAGACGCGGTGAGCAGGGGTCCACGTGAGTGTCCCTTCTGTGTACGTTAAGCTTGTGGTGTGGCACTGGGACATGCGGTCCAGTGAGGCCACAGAGTGAGGCTGTGGGGTGAGGTCCTCTCTGAAAGGGTCCTACACAGAAAATGGATGGAGGTCGGGAGGTAGTCCCCCTCTCTCTGCGCCTCAGGCTCTTGGGTCCAGATGTAAAAAAGAGGTGACTCCTGAGGAAAGGGGGGTGAATAGTAGAGACAGTATTGGGGTGGTGCATGTGTTTTGGAACCAGCAGACGTGGTTTGGGTCCTAATTCTGAGACTTAACAGCTGTGGAACCCAGGAGAAGTTACTTGCCTTCTGGTCATCAATTTCCTCATTTGAAATGTGAGAACAGTAATACTCCCAGCTTCGTTGGTGTTTGTAGAATTAAATAAAACAATACAGCCCTGGCCTGTGTGCTCAGTTGTTTGGGCATTGTCTCATGCACCCAAAGGTCGTGAGTTCAATTTTTCTACCCAGGACACATGCCTGGATTATAGGCTGGATCCCCAGCCAGGGCTCGGTGGGAGGCAACCAATGTTTCTCTCCACCACTACCCCCCCTTCCTCTCTCTCAAAATCAATAAAAACGTATTTAATAAATAAGTGAAACTGTTAGCATGGTCCCTGGCAAACAGCAAGTCCTCAATAAGCACTAGTTATTGTTACATAGCTTCAATTTATCCTCCAAATAGGGTTGAGCTGGGATCACGGTCATTATTGAGGCTGTGAGCCAGGGAGAAAGCAGCACTTTATGCTCCAAATTCTTTTTTTTTAAATATATATTTTATTAATTTTTTCAGAGAGGAAGAGAGAGGGATAGGGAGTTAGAAACATCGATGAGAGAGAATCATCGATCGGCTGCCTCTTGCACGAACCCTACTGGGGATGTGCCTGCAACCAAGGTACATGCCCTTGACAGGAATCGAACCCGGGACCTTTCAGTCCGCAGACCGATGCTCTACCACTGAGCCAAAACGGTTTCGGCATGATCCAAATTCTTATCTCGAGCTTCATCGTCTCCTCTAACTCCAGACTGGCTCTTACAACCCCTGCACAGCTTTACAGCGCCTCAATCTGCATGTCAGACTCACGTGTCCAAAATCAAACTCTGTATTTCCCCCAAAACCTGTTCTTCTGTTTCCTCCATCTCAGTAAACGGCGCTTCCACCGATCCACCGGAGGCTCAGCCAAAACCACTGACGTTCCGGTTCCTTCCCTCTCCCTCCGCACACCCAGTGCATCTGCCAATCCTGCAGGCTCTGCTTCTAAATGCTACTGAGTATGACTGATCGGCCCTTACCACCTCCATGCTGCGCTGGCCCAGGCTGTGGGGTCTCCTCTGCCTCTCTGGCCCCGGATACAGCGCACTCTGCACGGAGGCCAAGTCCCAGACCTCACTCACTCCAGCCGTTCTGGCCTCCTTCCTGGTCCTTGAGCCTGTTCCTGTCACAGGGCTTTGCGCTTGCTATTCCCTCTGCCTGGAACAGTCCCCCCACAGAGTCCCATGCCTCCATCCTCACTCCCAGGCTCCGCTCAAACATCACCTCCCCAGAGGTACCACCTTCCCCGATTGTCCATCACTGTCTTCCCATGCTGCTTCCAGTCGGCATCCTGCCTCACGGTCCGCTGCCTGTGTGTCTCCCCCTAAACTGAGACCTGGGAGAGTGCGCTCACCTGCTCCAGCTACCAGCGCCTGCAGCTGAGCCTGGCACATAGTGGGTGTCCAATAAATATTTGCCTTAATGAAATCGGTCTATCAAATGGCTTATTTGACTGTTTCTGTTTATTTCATCTTTGTTTCCTTCTTGCTTTTAGTAGTGTCATTGTTGGACCTGCCATTCATGTTTTGTCTCAGAATGTTCTATTTGAGGGAAAAGCTGTCCACTGTCCCCATTTGGACACGGCGCTCCCTGAGCCGGCGCAGTGGCAGCAGCAGTGATGAGAAGAATCCTCACGGGAGGGGGGAAGCGAAGGGCAGGAAGTTGAGCCTGAGGGGCAGCCACCCTTCCCATCCCAGAGCCCACGTAACCATTCTCTCTCTGCTGCCAACTCCAGGTGGTTCTGAGGAAAACTAGTTGGCTGTGAATTTCATTTCAAATGGCAATCATTATTCTTTCCTGTTCGCCCCCAATACCTTTTATAAGCAAGAGAAACTGAGAGATCAGTGAGCGTGGGACTTACTGTAGATCATACCGCAGTTTGGTTCAGGAGGATTAGTACAGTCTAAGGTAGAGGTTGTCCTCCCTGACTGAGCATTCAGTTCACCTGGGGAGCTTTTAAAATGCCTGTGCCCAGGCCACACCTCATGCCAATTAAACCAGAATCTCTCAAGGTGGGGCCTAGGCATCAGTAATTCTATAGTTAATACACACACACACACACTCACACTAGGGCCCAGTGCACATATTCTTGCACCTTGAAAGGAACTGTGGCTCTGAGGCTGCGGTAGGCACGGGGCGGGTCTCAGCTCATCCTCTGCATCCCCGCCCGGCCACTCCTGCCACAACCCGGCACCTCTCCCCCCACCCCCGGTCTGTCAGCAGCCCCACTCCTGCTGCCGCCACTCCCACATGCTAACAATGCCAGTCCCATTCACACTCGCTGATGGCACGGAGCGATTGGGACTGGTGCCAGCAGCAGATGCGAGTGAGGCTGGTACCATCAACGGATACGAGTAGCAGCGGCTGCTTCCCTGATCACCCCTCAGGAGCAGGGGGAGGTGGAGAAGCCTTCAGGGGTGATCAGGGCCCGCAGCCGCAGTTCACACTCACGGATGGCACAGAGTAATCAGGACCGGCACCAGGCACCAGCAGCTGTGTGAGCATCGACTCTGATGCCAACTGTGGGTCCAAGCGGGCCTGCACTGGCAGTGAGTGTGAGCAGGGCCAATGCCGGCAGTAGGTGTGAGTGCCAGGTGGAACCATGGCATGTGGGAGCAAAGAATTTTCAGTAACCACTAGAGGCTCACCCCGATAACCACAGCCGGCACCCTGCCTTGGTCTGGCACCCCTGCTCACCTGCTCCACCATCCCACCACGGCCCCCTGGTGGTCAGCACATGTCATAGCAACTGGTGGTTCAGTTGTTCAGTTGTTCCAGTTGTTCCTCTGTTCGGTCTATTTGCATATTAGCCTTTTATTGCATAGGATTTTAAAATATTTTTATTGATTTCAGAGAGGAAGGGAGAAGGAGAGATAGAAACATCAATGATGAGAGAGAATATCTGACTGGCTGCCTCCTGGGGATCAAGCCCACAATCCAGGCATGTGCCCGGACTGGGAGTCAAACTGTGACCTCCTGGTTCATAAGTCAATTCTCAACCACTGAGCCACACCAGTCAGGCCAGCATCTGTAATTCTTAAGATTCCACTAGGCGATTCCAAAAGGCATCCTAGTTTAAGGGTGTGCAACCAAGTTTCTCACATGCTAATATGCACACAAATCCCCTGTGCAAAAAGTAGATGGTGTCCTAGCCAGTGTGCTCAGTAGTTAGCATATTAGCCTGCACACCAAAGGGTTGTGGGTTCTATTCCTGATCAAGGGCATATACATTGGTTTCAGGTTCACTCCTCACCCCCATTTGGGGTACTTGTGGGATGCAACCAGTCAATGTGTCTCTCTCACATCAATGTTTCTCTCTCTATCTGTGCCCCCCACCCCCGTTCTACTCTCTCTGAAAAACAATGGAAAAAGATATCCTCAGGTGAAGATTAACAACGACAAAAAGGAAAATGGTGATCCCAGCATGTGGGCTGGATTTTGCACATATGACCTGCTGCTGAGTGATGCTGAGGCTCCCAGTCCATGGACCACAGTTTGAGCAGCACGTGTGAGGTCGAATACTGACCTTGAGTCAGACTCACAATTTTCAGATTGAATGCTTGGTAATCTAGACATTATTAATCCATGTGTTCTGCTAATTCCTGGGCATCCCAGACACTTAGCAGCCATTGTTCCGCCTGCTCTTTCTCCTTCCTGCCAACCCTTCCTGGACAAACAGAGGCCTCACCTCTTGAGCCACCCAATGATCAACGCTGTCTCCAATGTTCTTCAGCTGCATGGCCAACTGGTGGATCGTTTCCTCCTGGTGACGGTTCTGGCCAAGGCTATTTTCCTTGGGCTGAGAAGGTGAATTGTGATCTGCATTAAGAGAAGAGAGTTCAAAAGAGATACTCCATTAACTGTCTGTGAAATTACTCACCACTAGTTACTAAAAAGCGTCTTAGACAATGAGAAGGATGAAAACCCATCATTATAATGATTATCAAAAAACATGCTCAAGCCAGTGTGCTCAGTGGTTAGAGTGTTGGCCTACGCACCAAAGGGTCATGGGTTCAATTCTGGTTTGATCCCGGCCCCACTCAGGACCCATGCAGAAGGCAACTGATCAATATGCCTCTCTCAAATCGATATTTCTCTCTCTTTCTCTATTCTCCCTTCCTCCTCCCCTCCCTCCCTTCATTTCCTCTAAAAATCAATGGAAAAAAATATCCCTGGCTGAGGATTAAAAATAATAATTCTTATTATTATTATCAAAAAAACAAATCCTTGAATTGAAATAGATCAGTTCTGTTCAATAGAAATATAATTCAAACTATGTATTAATTTTTAATTTTCTAGTAGTAAAATCAGATACAATCAGTTAGTAATATACTTTATTTAAGCAAATATATTCAAAATATTACTCTTAGAACATATAATCAACATATATAAGTGTGGTAGGCAGAATTTAAACCCAGGTATGAACTAAAGCAGTACGAACAGGGGTGGGATGGTGAGAACAGCTCCTATAAGTGTTTAGGAAGCATAATCATCTGGAATTTGGTAATAAATTAGATGAGAAAGGTGAGGGAGACTCCCACTTTTCTAGCTCCGCAGACTGGAAGGATGATGGCACATCAGCCTCTCAGAGAAAGGGGGTCAGGGGAGCACATGTATGGAAGGCAGAGGAGGTGCATAGGGAGGAAAAAAGCTTTTCCACGGCCAGATATAATACGAATGTTTTGTTTTCTCATATGGTGGCCATCCTTTTATAGTCCTGATTGTGTTCGCCAGCTGGTGTGGCTCAGTTGACCTATGAACCAGGAGGTCCCAGTTCGATTCCCAGTCAGGACATGTGCCTGGGTTAGGGGGCCCCCATGCAGGAGGCAGCTGATCAATGATTCACTCTCATCATTGATGTTTCTATATCTCTCTCTCTCCCTCTCGGAAATCCATTAAAACATATATATATATATATATATATATATATATATATATATATATATGTGTGTGTGTGTGTGTGTGTGTGTGTGTGTGTGTGTGTATATGTGTGTGTGTGTATATATGTATGTATATATATGTATATATATATTTATTTATTTGTTTGTTTTATTTATTTTTTTTTTTCAAAAACAAAGAGAGATCTAGGGACTTCTGGCTCAAGTCTGAGACAAGCAGTGGCCTCTCCATTCCTTCTAATCCCTCCAAAACCCCACCAAAAGTAAAAAATAATGAAACCACACAATGAAGAGAAAGGACAGCCAAGTCAACAGCAGATGAGAGGTCTGTACGTGTCTGTGAAAGACAGAGGGAGATGAGACAAAATACGGTCAAATGAGCCAGGCCGAGGAAGCACCAAGAACCTACCCCGGTTGGTCTGGAGCCTGGAAGTGGGTCTACCCACCAAGACGGAGAGGCTGGGAGAGGGAGGCACGCCATCCACTGGAGGTCTGATGGGAATCAATTGCACCACGTGGTGCCCTGGACACCCAGCCCACTACCCCCAGCACAGATGTCAGGCAATCAATCAATCAAACCCAGACCACTCTTCTCTAGTGGAAGAGAACAAATCTTATGGAGGAAGCTGAAGCTTTTTTATGAAGGCTGCTACCTCAGATTACATGTCTCTTTGTTGGGGTATTTGAAGAACCTGGGGCCAGAAAGCTAGCCCCCTAACTCATCTCCCCAAAGCTTTTCCTCCCCACCTCAGAGCCCTCCTGTGCGTGTCCCCGCTCACCTGGGACCTGGAGGAGAGGCACAGGCACAGCGGCAAAACTCCGAAGCCAGATCACTTGGGTTCAAATGTAAAATCCACGACATATAAAACTAGATGACCTGGCCTAAGTTATTTAATCTCTCTAAGCCTCGGTTTCAACTGTAAAAATGTGAATATTAATGTGTTATTTCATCAATCCTGTGGGGTTTTTTAATGCCTCCAAAATCAGAATGTGATTTATATCATATTTTAACTGCCTTTTTTAGTAGTAAATAAAATAATGGTACATCTTACAATTGCTGAAAAATTACACTTAATGAAAGACCACGATAACTACCTCATAGAGGGGTTGTTGAGATGCTGTTTAGCCTGCACAGGACAGTGCCTGCAGCCTGGATAAACAGGATGTAAATGTTAGCTACTGTCCCACCCGGGAAGACAGTGCTGCTCACACAGCAGCAGACAAAAACCTCACTCAGTTCATATTTCTTTAAAATAACAAAATATCACCAGGCAATTGATAAGAATCCCAGGAAAAGAGATGCCAGATAAACAAAATAGTAATCCTAAAGATTACACACAAAATTCAGGAGCAGAAGAGAATGTGTGCAAATTCTAATGTATATGTTTAGAGAGATTTTTAAGAACATATCACATCCATGAAACAAAAAAGGATGTGCTGAGAAAAAGAATAATCCTAGAGCAGATTCTTTCAGATTTACCAAATATAATTGCCAAATTAAAAGTACAATTGATGTCTTGCAAAAATGAAGTCAAGGAAATCACTCAGAAAAATGTGAGAGAAAAGACAGGTGATGTAGAGTACCATTATGGAAAGACCAGCAGCTGCTTCAGAGACGTCCCAGAAAGAGAGGAAACAGGAAGTTATCAGAACAGCCTCGGACAGCCTCCCAGACCTGAAGGACACCAAACTTCAAATTAAAAAGTCCCATTAAAAAAAAAAAAATCCCCACCAATGTTTTAGGACAACAAACAGGGAAACAAAAACTTCACCTCTAGAACTTATTGAAATATCAAAACTCCAAGCATAAGGAGATGCTAAATATCTCCAAAGAAGAACACAGATTAGTTGGGTGCTGACTTCCCATCAACAATGGATACTAGAAAGACAGTAATACTAAAAGAATGAATAGCCTCTAAAATTATTTTCAAACCAGCTGCACTCTCAATAGCATGAGATGTGAATAAAGACATTTGCAGATATGCACAGACTCTGAACGCTTTTCTCCCACACATAGTTTCTTAGGAAGTCTTTTGAGGAAGCATTCCGGTAAAACATAGTCAACAGAGGATAACTAAGCCAAGAAAAAAAGACGGGAGATTTAGCAAAAGGTGGATCCAACCCACGTGAAGGGAAGTCCCAAGGTGGTAACGGTGCAATAGGCCTAGAGAGCAGCTGGACGGGAGTGCAGAGCAGCTGTGGATGGAAGCCCCAGGGACGGAGATTTGATAGAAGAGACGGTGTGGTTGAAAATTTGGGGAAACTACAAAGGCAAAGAGACAGTCCAGGAATCAATAAAAGGTCACACAGGAATTTTATTGTCCATGTGTGAAGCAAATTAAAATGTGGCTTATGTTTAAACTGAATAAATTGTTTTTACGTGTGTCTTTTCTAAAATGATACCATGTTAAATCTCACGGCATTTGACCTATACGACTGGGCATAACTTAAGCAATCGCAGCGTAGGTCCCTTGTTTACGGGGAGATGATTATTCTCAGGGAAAATCATTCCGAGACACACAGTCTGTATTGCTGGTAGCCACCACCCCTGGTCCCGGAGTGTTAAGGGAGTTTGCACGACCTTTTACTTTTGGAACATGATGCCACAGGTGGACAGAACTGAGGACAAGCGTCCTACAAGTCCCCGCCTCGCCACACGCGGGACCCTCTGCTTCCAGACGGGAAACGCGTGCCTCCCTTTTTCGGAGACAAACCACCTCCCAGCCCTCCAGGCGGCATGTGGGCCTCTGCTTGTGGTTGAGGAAAGTGGCTTCTGTTAGGAGGGCTTTGGAGCATTAGCTGGTGCTTCAAATTCACTCACTCTGAATATTAAATCTTTCAAATACAAAATCAACCGTAGTGGCCACATCTTGAAGGAGATGCCCTCTCATAATCAAACATTATTAATTCAAGGCCCAAGTCTCTTAGCCAATTAAAGGAGGTTGCTGGTGTAGCCGGGATTGAATTCGGTGCTGGAAGGGTAAAGGGAGGTTTGCAGGGCAGTGAAGTGTGGGTTTGAGCTACAGAGCAGGTGTGGCAGCACAGGGTAGACTCCTCCTCTGAGGAAGGCATGAGAGAGAAAGGCTGTAGCGGGAAGAGGTGTGTGGCAGGAACTTCCCAAGTTGAGAGCCTTGAGCAGGCTTGTAGGTCGAGCGAAATTAGAGCAGGAATAATGAAGAGTAGAAGATAGTGTAGGTCAAGTTGTTGAGGCAAAGTCTCAGAGGTTTAGGAGGAACAAGAATGAGAGCAGCCCTCGCCGGGAGGCCCAGTTGGTTGGAGCATCTCATACACCAAAAGGTTTCATATTCGATTCTCGGTCAGGCACGTACCTGGGTTGTGGGTTTGTTCTCTCTTGCTCTTGTCTCTCTGGTCCCTTTGGTTTTGCTTCTGCCCATGTTCCCTCCACAGCCCATGGCCCACGGCCCTGTGGACCCCACACGCAACAAACTGATGAACTGCAGTGGGAAACGCAAACCAAGCCAGCCTGGTGCTGGCCGGACTCTGGACGCTAGCTTTGATCTCAGCCCCGCTGAAGGCAAATGGAACCTCCTGCTCGGTGGGACACAGGGAAATGGGGCCTTGGGAACTCAGGGGGTAAGGCCACAGAAACAGAGCTTTCTACACCTCCTCCTCCCGGAGCGGGGAGAGGGGGAAGTCCTCCGGAAATTCTCATCCCAGCGGCACATCCAGAAGCCCACTTCCACTGATCGCCGATAACACTTCCATCCCTGTCAGGGCATGTCCGGGAGGCAATGTATGGATGTTTCTCTCTCACATCTCTATCTATTAATCTATCTTTTATTGATCTATCTCTGTCTGTACCACTCTATCTCTCCCTTCTTCTCCCTCTAAAAATCAATAAAAACATTCTCTGGTGAGGAAATGAAAGAATGAAAACGCGTGGAAGAATGAGCTTTGACA